TCTAACAAACACAATGCTCTTTTTGTTGTTGTTACTTAGCAACAACCACACTCAATTTCTCAAATTCCAGAAGCTTTTTGCGGCTTAATGCTGAATATCTGAGCTAGACTGACTGCCTCAACCCCATTGTTCACTCAGTTCTTGTTTAGTGAGCTTTGTACAATATTAAAACTAGTTGATGGGATGACTGCATGTATTTATTCTTACATATTGGAGGATTTATTATTTGTTGAAAGCATTTCTGTCTAGAAAATATCAATGTTGCTCACCTATGTCATGATAAACCATTTATCCACCTTCCTTACACATTTTGTAGAAGCTGTGACTAAGGCAATTTCTGAAGGGGAAAACACACCCAGCTGAATTAAAAGGTCAAGGTTCTGAGTTTCCTTCTAACTAAAGAAATCATGTACTTTCTCTGAGCTTGTTTCCTCCTCTGTAAAATGTAAAGGATAATCAGGCAGCCCAAATAATTATTAATAAGGATCAAATGAGATCGTGTATGTGGGTCCAATCAATTGATTCTACACAAAGGTATGTATCTGTTGTCACCAATATCTTTTTAGAAGTCACCAGCAGTGGGTTGTATACTTATTCAGTTTAGAGTGATCTATTTCTTAGTTGTCTTAATCAGATGATAAAAGGTAAGCCTTCCAATACAGACCTTGCCATCTTCATTTCCTTATCCTGCCTTATATGTCAATAACCTTAATTTACCTTCTGATCATCTCCTTGGCTGCCCTTGCTGTCTAAAGATCAGCCTTTTCTTAAAATGCCAAATGATGGGGGAAAATAGCATCTACCACTCCTCCAGAGAACAGAATAATGATTCAGAATGCCTCTAGCGTTTTGTTAAATTATCATTTGAGAGCAACCCAAGACAGTGTTTAGAGCAGGATGGCATAGTGCTTAAGAGCCAGGATTCTGGGTTCAGATCATGGGTTCAAATCCTGACCCCACCCTTAATTAGCTACCCACATTCCTCAAGTTTCTGACCTCATCTATAAAATGGACATAATCACAGTAACTACCTCTTAGTATGGCATACGTATTTTAAATTACTTAATTAGTGTAAAGTAACATGGTGAGGAGTATGCACAAAACATTCTACACATGATGATACTATAAAGCACTTCTGGATTCTGAAACACAAAAATCACAGAAATACAAAGCCACAGAGACAAGCACACAGTGGGAGGCAGTAAGCTTGACTTCTCCCTTGTTCTCCTTGCCCTTCCACTTCCCTTCACTGTCATCTACCCCCAGCAGGCAGAGGGAATGGTCGGGAAGTAATTCCATCACAGTAGTGTTTATGAAGGCAGGCGAGTAGGAAGTGGATGACAGAGGGATTGAGATTAGTGGTGCATTCCTGTTTTTACTTTCAGGACGTCTGTTGTGTGAGAAATAAAGCAAAACTGGTAAGAAACAATTTGCAGCCATATGCATTCAGGGAAAGGCAGGCAAGTAGAAAGTGGATGACAATTGAATTAAGTGGTGCATTCCTGTTTTGCTAAGGATATTACATTGACGAAGAAATAAAGGAAAGCAAAACTGTTGGGAAGCAATTTGGCCATATGCATTCAGGACAATAAAAACTTTCCTATTGCTTCTCTCTCGATAATGACATTTCTTAAAATTCATCCTGAAGAAATAATCCAAAGCAAAAGGAAAACTATACATAAGATGTTCATTGTATTATTTTTTAAACAGTTTTCTTAAGGTGTGAAAGGAAAATAAATCTTGGGATCCCAAACTTACTAAGCCAGAGGGAAAAGTCAAGCTGGGAACTGGGTCATGCAAACCTGCCTCCCATTTTGGTTTCTTTGGTTTTTTGTTTTGTTTTGTTTTTGTTTTTGTTTTTTGAGACCAAGTCTCACTCTGTCGCCCATGCTGGAGTGCAGTGGTGTGATCTCGGCTCACTGCAACCTCCATCTCCCAGGTTCAAGCAATTCTCCTGCCTCAGCCTCCCGAGTAGCTGGGATTACAGGCGCATGCCATAGTAGAGACGGGGTTTCATCATGTTGGCCAGGCTGGTCTCAAACTCCTGACCTCGTGATCCTGATCCGCCCACCTCGGCCTCCCAAAGTGCTGGGATTACAGGCGTGAGCCACTGCGCCCAGCCCCATTTTGGTTTCTAAATAAGATGGCTACAAAGATGAAAAGCTACACACCTCCCTCACATCTTGACCACAAGGAGATTCCCTGTGGTACCCAAGATCTTTACCCTAAAGCATTTCAGCTAAAGTTCACCAGGGCAATGTAAATTCACAGCTTATATTCACAGGTCGGGGGACACAGGACAGAAATGAAGGTCATCCCTCTGCCCACTGAGACAAATGCATATCTGATTGTTTCCTCTGCCCTATTATCTACATTATCTTATGTAAAAATGCAGATTCACTAAGCCAGACAAAGGCATTAAATATTGAAACCACCAAAATAATCTTAAAAGAAAAGCACAGACTTGTCTCCCGGGTACACTTCCTTAACTTTGGCAAATAAACCTCCTAAAATGATTGAGACTTGCCTCAGTCATTTTCCTTGATTGACAAAGGTATAATTCATCTTTTTTTTTTTTTTTTTTTTTTTTTTGAGGTGGAGTCTCAGTCTGTTGCCCAGGCTGGAGTGCAGTGGCATGAACTCAGCTCACTGCAAGCTCTGCCTCCCTGGGTTCATGCCATTCTCCTGTCTCAGCCTCCCGAGTAACTGGGACTACAGGCGCCTGCCACCATGCCCAGCTAATTTTTGTATTTTTAGTAGAGATGGGGTTTCACCAGGCTAGTCTCAAACTCCTGACCTTGTGATCTGCCCGCCTCGGCCTCCCAAAGTGCTGCGATTACAGGCGTGAGCCACCACGCCGGGCCAATTCATCCTTTGAAAGTGTACAATGCAGTGGGTTTTTTTTTTTTTAAGAATCATTCAGACTTGTGCAAGCATCACCATTATGTAATTTTAGAAATTTTCACCACTCCAATATGAAACTCATTTGCAGTTACTCTCCATTTCTCCCTCTGCCTCCCCACCCCTAGCAACTTCTAATCTACTTTCTTGCATTATATTATTATTATTATACTAATTTTTGAGACAGGGTCTGGAATGCAGACAGGCTGGAATGCAGTGGCATGATCACAGCTCACTGAAGCCTCGACCTCCATAACTCAAGCAATCCACCCACCTCAGCCTCCTGTGTAACTGGAACTATAGGTGTGCACCACCACCCCCAGCTGATTTTTGTATTTTTTTGGCATGATCACAGCTCACTGCAGCCTCAACCTCCAGGGCTCAAGCAGTCCTCCCACTTCAGTCTCCTGAGTAGCTGGAACTATAGGTGCATGCCACCACACCCAGCTAATTTTTGTATTTTTTTTTTTTGGAGGGGCATGGTTTCATCATGTTGCCCAGGCTGGTCTCAAACTCCTGTGCTCAAGCAATCCACCCACCTTGGCCTCCCAAAGTGTTGGGATTACAGGCATGAGCCATGGTGCCCAGTCTGCATTATTATTATTATTATTATTTTGAGACATAGTTTCACTCTTGTTGCCCAGGCTGGAGTGCAATGGCATGACCTCGGCTCACCACAACCTCCGCCTCCCGGGTCCCAGCTCAAGCAATTCTCCTGCCTCAGCCTCCCGAGTAGCTGGGATTACAGGCAGGCACCTCCATGCCCAGCTAATTTTTGTATTTTTAGTAGAGACGGGGTTTCACCATGTTGGCCAGGCTGGTCTTGAACTCCTGACCTCGTGATCATCCGCCTCGGCCTCCCAAAGTACTGGGATTACGGGCATGAACCACCGTGCCCGGAAACCTGCATTATTTTTAATGGCCAAAAATATAGAGTGAAATAGGCTCAGTGTTATTGAGCAATGTATCATGAGGGCATATTAATCAAATTATGGCATATTGATTGAATAAAATATTACATGGCTGTTTGAAATTACTACAATAAAGTCTTTATCAAGGTGAAATATATACAATATAAAGTATAAAACTTTTTAAAGATACAAAGTGGTTAGTATATTCTGGTTTGCATGTGGACAGTCTGGAAGAACTATATAAACATTTTAAATGGCCATGTTAGGATAATGAGATGGTAGACTATCGGGAGAACCCGCTCCCGATGGTTTATGTGGGTTCTTTTCTATTTCCTAAGTGTCTCAGCTGGTTTGAGAAATAAAGGGAAAGAGCACAAGAGAGAAATTTAAAGCTGGGTATCTGGGGGAGATATCACATGTCGGCAGGATTCATGATGTTCTCCGAGTCATAAAACCAGCACGTTTTTATTAGCAATTTTCAAAAGGGGAGGGAGTGCATGAATAGGGTGTGGGTCAGAGATCACATGCTTCACAAGGTAATAAAATATCACAAAGCAAATGGAGGCAGGGCGAGATCACAGGACCACCAGACGGGGTGAAATTAAAATTGCTAATGAAGTTTCGGGCATGCATTGTCATTGATAACATCTTATCAGAAAACAGGGTTTGAGAGCAGACAACCTGTTTGACCAAAATTTATTAGGCGGGAATTTCCTTGTCCTAATAAGCCTGGGAGTGCTACAGGAGACCGGGGCTTATCTCATCCCTTCGGCTTCAACCATAAAAGACAGCATGCTTCCAAAGGGGCCGTTCATAGGCCTGCCCTCAGGGGCCCATTCTCTTTCTCAGGGATGTTCCTTGCTGAGAAAAAGAATTCAGCGATATTTCTCCTATTTGCTTTTGAAAAAGGAGAAATATGGCTCTGTTCTGTCTGGCTCACTGGCAGCCAGTTCAAAGTTACCTCCTTTGTTCCCTGAACATCGCTGTTATCCTGTTCTTTTTTCAAGATGCCCAGATTTCATATTGTTCAAACACACATGCTCTACAAACAATTTGTGCAGTTGACACAATCATCACAGGGTCCTGAGGCAACATTCATCTTCCTCAGCTTACAAAGAAGATGACGGGATTAAGAGATTAAAGACAGGCATGGGAAATCACAAGGGTATTGACTGAGGAAGTGATAAGTGTCCATGAAATCTTCACAATTTATGTTCAGAGATTGTAGTAAAGACAGGTATAAGAACTATAAAAGTATTAATTTGAGGAACTAATAAATGTCCATGAAATCTTCACAATTTATGTTCTTCTGCCACAGCTTCAGCTGATCCCTCCATTTGGGGTCCCTGACTTCCCGCAACAGTAGATGATTATTTTTCTTTAGCTTTTAAATATTGTCATGTTTATTTTTTAACAAATGCAATTTTTAAAAACTTGATTTTACATTACTGGAATTGAGACTGTATGAACGGCACACCCAGTCAGCAGTCTAGCCTCTCCAGTTGGGATCCAGTTCTTATCTATTGCACTCTCCTTCAGGCAACCAAGAGACTTAAGCTACAAAGGTCCAGCCTCTCCCAGACTCTCCCCTTACACCTCAGGCCCATACCCTTTGGCCCCGTGCGGCTTAGCCTACACCTTCCCATCCCTACAACTCACTCCTTAACAAACCCCCCTTTCCTATCACACACACCAATGACCCTTGGCCAATTTCCTTCTATTCATATGTTAACTGTAGACTGAAGTCCTGATTCCAGCCGTACTTTCCCCTTATGAGCAGAACAGTGAGGAAATTGGCTGAAACAGAACAACAATCAGCCCCCTCTCACTTCCGTGCCTACTTTACATAGAGGCACACCTCATTTAGACTCCCACAGCCTTCCTGTTATGTCTCCTTCCTCTCTCCGCTATGGATGTGGGGCTATGGGACAGAGAATCTTCAATATCCCACCAGTGCCTACATATATATACCAACCACTACAGACACAGTTATCCTTATTCTCATACTGTCTCTCTCTCTCACACACACACATATATACACACACACACACCCTCTGCTATGCTCCCGCACCCCAGCTGTCCCTGGGAAGCCTAGATTGGATTTGTGCCCATGGTCTGCAGCTCCCCTTGGTCTGTCTGCTGGTCACCCTCTGAAGGAACGGGGCCCAGTCTTGTTCACCCTCTGGCTCAAGAACAAAGTATGATTCTACCCACCCTCTACCTCCAAGCACCTCCCCTACTCAGACTTAACTGCCTGACCCACAACTGAAAAGAATGGCTCCTGGATCTTCACAGGTGTGGTGAAGCCTGGTGAGAGGGGAGCCTTCTAGTCCCTACCACGTGTCAGGACCATGTTAGTTCCAGGATTCAGAGATGATTAAAACTAATCACGCACCTTGAGAAACTCACAGTGGAAGGAAAATCAGTAAACAGAAAAATGCTACATAACCAGGTGGTGGAACAGATTTAGGAAGGAACAGTGTGGATACACTGGAGCAGGCTCCAAAGCAGCATCACCTCAGAGGAGGATCTTGAAGACTCAGGAGTTAACTGGGTCAAGAAGTATACACACACATACTTCTCACAGGTCTGCAGAAAACGGGGAGTCCGCAAAAATAGCACTTGGGCAATGGAAGCAGGACACACCATTCCATGCCCACAGCATTGCTTCCTGTGTGCAATGCACTGTGTGCTGATCTACAGAGATTAAATAAGCCGAGGTCTCTCCTTCCAGTCACTTGGGAGAGAGGCACAAGGTAAATTATCAAATAGAAGGCAAACTGCCCAGGGCTGTAATTAACATACAATATGCGCTGAGAGGGAAAGGTTAATGCTAACTCTGGTCCTAAGTACAAAGATCATTGGGAGTAAGGGGTGCACTCTCATTAGGGCACAGTAGGGGTGGGTGGAGAGAGTAAAAACCAGAACAAATCAAGGTGCAGCAGTTGGAAGTCAGCCTTAGGGAGAAAAGGGGCGGAGACTGACTGGGCCAGAACAGAGGGATTGGAAAAGAAAAAGAGGGTGGGGCCAGTGGGCTCCACCTACCCGCTCCGGCCCTTCCCCCCACCCCCACCCCATCTACTTTCTGCAGTCTGTGGAGACAGGTGAGTGACGAACTCCTGAGACAGGTGTGAGTGTGAGGGTCGGGAGGGTCATGGGATTGGGACCAAGGTGTGAGGAGGGAATCTGCAATTCCTTGCTACACAGAGCACTGGCAACTTCTGACAGGCTGTTTCTGGGGTATGGGCTGCCTTGGGTTGTTGCTGTTACAAGGAAAAAGGGTTCCCCTGCCCACCGCCTCCCAGCCACTGGGCTAATTCCTGGCAGGAAACTTGCAAACTGAGTTTAACGAGTTAGGATCAGCAGAGGGTAGAGGAAGGCCCCGGCAGATGTGGGGTCTATCTAGAAGAGGACAGGAGTTATCAGGGCCTCTGGCCACTGTGCTGGGCCTTTGCCTGTACAATTGTTTCTCAAGCAGTCGTGTCCTTGTGGCTTTGGTGGGCCTGTGTGCACTTTCTCCCTCCACCTGGAGCATGGGCTGACACCGGAGGAAAGGAAAAGACAGAGTCAGACAGGGTAAGTGGGGGTCCCTCCCCTCTTCTCTAACAGGGCTGGATTGAGGGCCTCTGGCTGGGGAGGTTGGGGGTGGAGATCCAGGAGCAATAACAGAGGAAGGGCAGGGCCTGCCCCATCACCTGAATTCCAGAGATGCCAGTGTGCACTGAAGCCCCAGGCAAGGCGTGCCCAGGACCGGATCCTGGATGGTGGTGAGGGACAGAGCTGGAAGGGAGACTACAGGGAAGGATAAAGGAAAGAAGGCAGAGCCATGACACAGTCAACTTACAGAATGGCTGGGAGTCAAGGCTCCTGGGCTGGTTTCCTGGCTATTCCACACACGCTAAGACCTAGAGAGAATTTCAGAGCTGGAGGGGACTCCACAGATTATTTGATTTGAGATTGAAGAACCTAGAAACCAAACAAGGAAATATCATATGGTTACTTTGGTATCTGACACAGCCATGACACCATTTACTAGTGTAGACACAATAGCTGTGTGTCTTTTTGCAGGAGCCTGGGGAGGGGCCATGGTGCCAATGTACTTATTGGGGAGACTGGAGAAGCCGCTTCTCCTCCTGTGCTGCGCCTCCTTCCTACTGGGGCTGGCTTTGCTGGGCATAAAGACGGACATCACCCCTGTTGCTTATTTCTTTCTCACATTGGGTGGCTTCTTCTTGTTTGCCTATCTCCTGGTCCGGTTTCTGGAATGCGGGCTTCGGTCCCAGCTCCAATCAATGCAGACTGAGAGCCCAGGGCCCTCAGGCAATGCACGGTGAGTTAAGGGGTGGGCATCAGGAGAGGAATACACCTTGGGCCCATCCTCCCTCCCTCTCTCCCTGTAGTCTCTGAGGCAGAGTCTCTGGTTTCCTCTGTCACTGGCATCAGCGGGAGGAGGGTTCAGAGGCCAACACAGGATCTTTTGCCCGTAGCAGACAAAAAAAAGGGAAAAAGGGCTTCTTTCATGGAAGCCACCAATGGCCTTATTTCTCTTCCCTCAGGGACAATGAAGCCTTTGAAGTGCCAGCCTATGAAGAGGCTGTGGTGGGACTGGAATCCCAGTGCCGCCCCCAAGAGTTGGACCAACCACCCCCCTACAGCACTGTTGTGATACTCCCAGCACCTGAGGATGAACAACCTAGCCATCCAGAGGGGTCCAGGAGAGCCGGACTGGAACAGAGGCGAATGGCCTCAGAGACTATGGCCCAGGAAGGAAGCCCTGGAAGAGCTCCAATCAGCCTTCGGCTTCGGGGACCACGGGCTGTGTCCACTGCTCCTGATCTGCAGAGCTTGGGGGCACTCCCCAGATTAGAGCCTCTGACTCCACCCCCTGCCTATGACGTCTGCTTTGGTCAACCTGATGATGATAGTGTTTTTTGTGAAGACAACTGGGCACCCCCTTAAATGACTCTCCGATTTCTCCTCTCTCCATACCAGACCTCATTCATTTGACCAACATTTTCCAGTGCCTGCTATGTGTCAGAAACAGTGTTTCTGGCTGAATATCATAAATGGGGACTTGGACCCTGAGGAAAGTCAGGCCACGGTAAGCCCTTCCCAGCTGAGATGTGGGTGGCATAATTTGAGTCTTCTGGCAACATTTGGTGACCTACCCCATATCCAATATTTCCAGTGTTAAATTGAGGATGAGGTAGGGAGGTGATCCAGAGAAGGTGGAGAAGGAAGACATAACCTCTGAGTGGCGGCTATTGCTTCTGTTCCAGGTGCTGTTCGAGCTGTTAGATCCCTTAGGCTTGCCAGCTTTGTGAGTTATTATTGAAAAATGAGGATTCCAAGAGTCAGAGGAGTTTTATAATGTGCACGAGGGCACACTGCTAGTAAATAACATTAACTCTAATCCCAAAGCCTATTGTGTTTTCAACACAAGGTAGTAGGAAGCCAAGCCACGTGCATGTCTCCCAATCCCTGTCTAGGGACAGCTGCTGGTGCAGGGTGGAAGACTTCCTACAAACAGAATGGGGGACCAATTGTGTCTACGGAGGGGGTGGGCTGAGCATGGGCACGCATGTCCCCAGCCTCCTGGACGAGCAAACTCAATCAACGCTCTGGGGATCCCTGCTCCGCATGGGTAGCAGTGTCTGTGCCTCTCCTGCCCAGGTGCTAGAGAACAGTCCCCAGTGCAGGGTCCCCAATGTATTTGAAAACAGTGGAGTCAGTGGTTCTAGGTGGAGGGTGGGTATGAAGGCCAGAAAGAGTGAAACATGTGAGCTTTCTGGCCAGGAGATTCCCTCTTGAATCATCCATATGAAGCCCCGGGGCCACTTGCGAAGCGTCTCTAATAGCTTCTTCCTCACTCGTGCGCTCTGACCGCTAGACTTTCACCCCAGACGCCGGTCCGGATTCCTGGGATCCCAATATTAAGCACCAGGTTTCCTGGAATTGTGTGCTGCGGCTGTGATGTAGGTTTCGGTCGCAGGAAGCTGCTAAACCATAGCTGACGCTCCCTCCTAAGCCAGCCTTCCTTCCCCGGGCGGGTATCTGTTCAGCACCTTGTCGCGCTCTCAGTCTCCTCCGCAGCCTGGCCCCAACCGTTCAACTTCAATAAAGCAAAACTCCAGCCACACAAGTCTCCGTGAAGTTATCGCCATAGGCCGGCCAGGGGGCGGGAGAGGTACCGGGGTGATTTCCGCGGGAAGCGATAACCAATCGGATTCCCAGGCCGAACGGAGCACACTCGCCCGCCTTCGCTCTTTCCCCGCCCTTTGCCCCGCCCCGCTCCTTCTCTCCTTTTGTCTTTCCACTGAGCTCTCCACTTCACCCCATTGGCCCGCGCGGCCGCCGCTAGAGCTCTGCGCCTGCGCACGCACCGGGCGGGGGGACGCGGTGGCCTGGCGTGGGGGCGCGGCAGGGCGCAGACGCAGGCGCAATCTGTGTCCGCGTGTGGGGGAGGGATGTGGGCGAGGCGACGGCCCCCGGTTTGTTTGGGCTGTGGGCGGTGCACAGTGCAGAGCCCGGGAAAAGCGGGAAATGGCGGCGCCGAGCGCAGGGTCTTGGTCTACCTTCAAGCACAAGGAGCTGATGGCCGCTGACAGGGGACGCAGGTAAGTAAGGAACAGTCTTAGGGCTACTAAGGGAGGGTCCAGGGAAGGGGAACGTGGGCCCCAGGCGTGCGGCCCTGCAGCCCCCTCCCCTCGGAGCCCCGGAAAGCAGCCTTGTCCGCGCTTCCTGCCAAGGGTGGGAGGCCCCGCCGAGCAGCTCCGAGCCTGACTGCGCAGGGGCCCGCGGGCGGACCTCTTGGCCTTGTCCCTCGTGGGGGAAGACTGCCCTAGCCTCCCTTTGTTCAACCCACGAGGGTTCTAAATAAGGAGAGCTCTTTGCAGTCCTGCCCACTCTTGGCTTCTCTTGAAGATTCTTCATCCTTTCCTCTGGCTCCCTTATGAGGGAGACTGTAAAAAGACTATACTCTGCCCCCTTAAAAACCGCCGAGACCTTCTGCAGACCTCGGTGCTCTGCCTGATGTGCATTTGATTTGTATCGACTGTATCATGATCTGCATGGTTTTGCATACAGTCACCAGATTTTCGAAGAAGTCAGTACGGGGTTTGGAAATTGAGTACTTTTGGCAGAACAGGGGGGTTCCTGTGGCTCCAAGTGTCCATGCCTCTGCCCCGGTCTTTCCATTTCATGGCAGGCATCACCCAGGAGAACATTGTAATGCCTCCTGCTCGAGACTGAAGATTAAGGTCTTCGCAAAGGGAACCTGCAGAAGGATACAGAATTAAGACGTAGGAACTCCCGTGGTGCCCTTCACCCCTCCTCCCCTTCCAGTTGTGTCCTGAAATTCTAAATGATTGGAAACTTTTGTAGTGTTCACGTTTAAGACTCTCATACTATGGAGTAGAGGAAGGAGCAGGTGTGCAGAGTAGTTGATGCTTCAGATTAAAACTAAAGAGTTGATTGAAAATTCAAGTCTGGAACTCCAGAGAATTAAGAACTGTAAGTCAGTAAGTTGCAAGTATGGGTGAGATTGTCTAGGGAAAGGCTCTTTGAAGGGGTGTCCCTAATGGAATATCAACATTAAGGGGAGGCCAAAGGCCCTCTAAAGAAAACAGGAATTGGGTAGGCAGAGAGAAGACTTCCAGATGCTGTCATGGAAAAAGAGGAAGAGAACAATTTAAGGAGTGAATACTACTGGTAAACTAATGGAAGAAATCTGCTGCACCATTGGTTGGTATCCCAGCTGCAGTGTTATATGTGATCGTTATTACTGCTTTGATGTATTCGAAAGTGATTCATTCTTAAATGGATTTTTTTATTTGTATAGCTTGTTTTCTTGTAGCCGGTTTTTACTGAAAGGCTGGGGTAACGGAAATATTACAGTAAAAATAAGGAAAAATGGAGTTTCGGACTCACTTTTCCAAACCTCAGATTCATTGACTGCTTCCAACCCACTTTGTCTGCTTTAGGATCCCACCTGCTATCTTAGATCTAGTTACTCCAGGACCCTGCTCTTCCCTCTTCTAACTATAAATCTCTCACCCAATAACATCTCCAAGCCAAGTGCATCCATTCCATAGATGTGTGATATTTCACTGATTGTAAGATACACATTTTTCCCCTCCTTTTTTTTTTTTTTTTTTTTTTTTTTTTTAAACACGGACTCTTTGCTCTGTCGTCCAGGCTGGAGTGCAGTGGAATGATCTCAGCTCCCTGCAACCTCCATCTCCCAGGTTCAAGCGATTCTCCTGCCTCAGCCTCCACAGTAGCTAGGACTACAGGCATGCACCACTACACTCAGCTAATTTGTTGTATTTTTAGTAGAGACAGGGTTTCACCATGTTGGCCAGGCTGATCTCAAACTCTTGACCTCTGGTGATCTATCCACCTCAGCCTCCCAAAGTGCTGGGATTACAGGCATGAGCCACCGTGCCCAGCCTCCCTTCCTGTTTTAACACCTTAGAAATCAGGATGCATTTTAGAGTAGGTTTTGAAGTTATAAAGTGAAGTTACTATATCTTCACTGCTATCAGGTGCCGCCCTTCCTGTTGTCACATATTTGGAAAATGTGACTTGGCAGGCTAGAGAACTCTGGATTTATGTAAAGTAGGCATGTAGATGACATATATTGGCAATAGGATCATTTTAGTTTATAAGCAGAAGCTGATCTCTTTGCAAGCCTGTGGCAAAATTAGCTGGAGGTGACAGCACATGCCTGTAGTCCCAGCTACTTGGGAGGCTGAGGCAGGAGGATCATTTGAGTCCAGGAGTTCTGGGCTGTAGTGTGCTGTGCCAGTCACGTGTCCACACTAAGTTCAGCATCAGTGTGGTGATGTCCTGGGAGCCAGGGTCCACCAGGTTGCCTAAGGAAGGGTGAACCAGCCCAGGTCAAAAGCTGGGCAAGTCAAAACTCCTGTGCTGCTCTGTAATAGGGTCATACCTGTGAAGAACCACTGCACTCCAGCCTGGGTGGCATAGTGAGACTGTCTGTTTTAAAGTAAATAGATAAGTACCTACCCACTGTGACTTTCTGTCATACTTTCTGCTTATCCACATCTTAACGGGTTTCTGATAATTTCTAGTGCCATTTTGTCCCTGGAACTTAAAGTTTTAAAAAAACATGTAATTATATGTTTATATCATTAGTGAAAGAGAGTTAGTGTCAGCCTCATTTATTTTCTGTTAAAGCCGTTGGCTTGAGTTTTTGTCATAGCGTTGTTTTAGCCCTCATCCAAGATCATTATAAACTTCCATCACTTTCACCAACTTAAATAATGTGAGATGATTTCTGAAATAGTTCTCTTAATTAAAATTGGTCTATCAGAGAAGTGTTTCTTCTCATACATATGTATGCTTGGGGGTATTATTTTGCTTAAGATAGACATTTCCCTCCCCTAGTCAGACCATTCATCTCAGATGATCTCAGCTGAACATAAGCCATAAGGAATTAGACATTATTTCCTTATGATCAATGCATTACTGCTTAGTACGTCTTTGATTTAACCAGATTCAATAAATATGCATAATCTTGGTTATTAGAAGTCTTATTCTTTTTCGTTCTTCCTATTCATGCCTCTTCCACTCCACTCTTCTGTGCCCAATTGTGTACTTGACAGCCTTTCCCTCTACCTTTTATCTGTAGGATATTGGGTGTGTGTGGCATGCATCCTCACCATCAGGAAACTCTAAAAAAGAACCGAGTGGTGCTAGCCAAACAGCTGTTGTTGAGTGAACTGTTAGAACATCTTCTGGAGAAGGACATCATCACCTTGGAAATGAGAGAGCTCATCCAGGTATCTGGAGGCAAAAGAGAGAAGATAAATTGATCATAGGGGTGGGAACAGAGCATGACAAAATATTAAAAGGATGTCGTATCTTTATCCTTTTTTTTTTGTTTTTTTGAGACAGAGTCTCTATCGCCCAGGCTGGAGTGCAATGGCGTGATCTTGGCTCACGGCAGCCTCTGCCTCCCAGGTTCAAGTGATTCTCCTGCCTCAGCATCCCAAGTAGCTGGGACTACAGGCGGGTGCCACCACACCTGGCTAATTTTTTGTATTTTTAGTAGAGATGGGGTTTTACTGTGTTAGCCAGGATGTTGTCAATCTCCTGACCTAGTAATCCGCCTGCTTTGGCTTCCCAAAGTGCTAGAATTACAGATGTGAGCCACCACACCCAGCTGGATGTCGTACCTTTCTAAAGAAATGGAAGTGCCCTTCTACCATAGAGCATTTGACAGAAATGGTATATAATTCAAGAATAACAGGAAGGACTTCACCTAAATATATCTTTTCCTGTAAAAAGAATTATTGAGAGGAATGAGGACACTACTAGGAAGCTCATGTGGAGAAATAAAATTATAGGTAGAGAAGTAAATATGATTCCATGTTTTATTCTTGTGTCTTAGGCCAAAGTGGGCAGTTTCAGCCAGAACGTGGAACTCCTCAACTTGCTGCCTAAGAGGGGTCCCCAAGCTTTTGATGCCTTCTGTGAAGCACTGAGGGAGACCAAGCAAGGCCACCTGGAGGATATGTTGCTCACCACCCTTTCCGGGCTTCAGCATGTACTCCCACCGGTATGAAGCTTTAGTCATATGGGGTGTTGGGAAGGAAAGTTTGACTGGAAAGCAATTTGTAAGTCAGAGTGAGGGAGACTACATTTTTTTGTATTTGGAGCGGACCATCTCCCTAAGGTCTGTCATCATGAGTTTTGATTTCTTACAGTTGAGCTGTGACTACGACTTGAGTCTCCCTTTCCCAGTGTGTGAGTCCTGTCCACTTCACAAGAAGGTCCGCCTGTCGACAGGTGAGAATTGATGGACTAAAAGGAGTCCCAGGCCAGGCACGGTGGCTCACGCCTGTAATCCCAGCACTTTGGGAGACCGAGGTGGGTGGATCACCTGAGGTCAGGAGTCCGAGACCAGCCTGGCCAACATGGTGAAACCCCGTCTCTACTAAAAATATAAAAACTAGCTGGGCGTGGTGGTGGGTGCCTGTAATCCCAGCTACTCGGGAGGCTGAGGCAGGAGAATTGCTTGAACCCAGGAGATGGAGGTTGCAGTGAGCCAACACAATGCCACCACACTCCAGCCTTGGCGACAGAGTGAGAGTCAGTCTCAAAAAAAAAAAAAAAAAAAGGAGGGGGGTGTCCCAGATCCCAGTTTGACTTCTCCTTTCTTGTCTGGTATCTGGCTTTGCCCTAACATGAGCCTTTTTTTTTTTTTTTTTTTTTTTTTTTTTAAATAGGGTCTTGTTCTGTCACCCAGGCTGGAATGCAGTGGCACCATCATAGCTCACTGCAGCCTCGAACTCCTGGGTTGAAGGGCTCCTCCTGCCTCAACCTCCCAAGTACCTGGGATTACAGGTGCATGCCACCACACCTAGTTCCTTTTTAAATGTTTTGTAGAGAAGGAGTCTCACTTTGTTACCCAGGCTGGTGTCAAACTCCTGGCCTCAAGTGATCCTCCTGCCTTGGCCTCCCAAAGTGCTGGGATTATAGGCATAAGCCACCACGCCCAGCTGAGACATATTTTATATTGGGAACAGTTGTCAGTGAATTTGTTAAGGGCTAGTAGGACAGTTTAGGCAGGAGGTTGTTTTTGTTTTTTTGTTCTTTGTTTTTTTTTCCCTCTCTTGTGATGGAGTCTTGCTCTGTCGCCCAGGCTGGAGTGCAATTACGCGATCTCGGCTCACTGCAAACTCTGCCTCCTGGGTTCAAGCGATTCTCCTGCCTCAGCCTCCTGAGTAGCTGGGATTACAGGTGCACGCCACCATGCCCAGCTAATTTTTTGTATTTTTAGTAGAGAGGGGGTTTCACCGTTTCCTGACCTCGTGATCTGCCTGCCTCAGCCTCCCACAGTGTTGGGATGACAGGCGTGAGTCACCGCCTAGGCAGGGTATTATAAGTAGGTGGTCCCATTTCCTTTCCACCCCAGATAACAGTTTTTATGATAACTGGCCCTTTGAGTAGCATGTATATAGGCAGGAAGTTCATGCTCAATTGGCCTTTATAAAGCTGAAAGAGAAAAGACTACATTTGGGGCCACCAGCCTGCTGATGGAGCAGCCTAGTGATTGGAACAAGACTTTTATCAGCTAGCCCATTTAGTCAGTCAGCCAGTTGAGCATCTGCTACATGCAAGCTATGCAGAGAATCCTTTAGTGAGCTAAAACTAAGAGTCTCTGCCCTCATGAAGCCTACAGGTTTGGGGAGTGAGTGAGACCAGTATTTATCAAAACCTGGTTCCAAGAGATGTCTGAAGTTACAATGACATATTAAGATTGATGGTTAAGTTAGATACTAGTTGTTTGGTTTTCTGTCTATACCACAGATACTGTGGAACACTCCCTAGACAATAAAGATGGTCCTGTCTGCCTTCAGGTGAAGCCTTGCACTCCTGAATTTTATCAGACACACTTCCAGCTGGTGAGTTTTTGCATAATGACAAGAGGAAGAGAGTTGGGAAATTAGACACCCTTCCTGGGAACCTGAACTTAGTTTGCATGTACATTTCCTTTCTGCCTTATTAGTCAGAAAGTTGTTACTGGCTAAATGCCTTTTGTGAGCATTTGTCTATTTTTACCTGCTGGGGGTTAAGAAGAAAACTACAATGTTTTTGTTTTCTTGAAATGTCTAATCTAGCCGGGGAATCTTCTGTCATCGAGATGCTCATCCTCTAACTGGCCTCTCCTCCCCAGGCTTATAGGTTGCAGTCTTGGCCTCGTGGCCTAGCACTGGTGTTGAGCAATGTGCACTTCACTGGAGAGAAAGAACTGGAATTTCGCTCTGGAGGGGATGTGGACCACAGTACTCTAGTCACCCTCTTCAAGCTTTTGGGCTATGACGTCCATGTTCTGCGTGACCAGACTGCACAGGTACCCGAGGCAGGAAAAATTGATGTGTAAATTAGAGGACTGAACAACACTTTGGGACCAGAGACATCTTTTGCTCTTGTGCCTGCTGGGATATGTCTTAAAAGTTGGTCTACTCTACTTACATTTTTATTCACTCTGTTCTGCCTCTCACCTTGCAATCTAGTAGAAAGAATTAGGGCCAGCCAGCCATTTTAGTGTTGACATCTCAGGTTGTGGTTTCATAAAGTAATAATATTCCACAGTTGGGTTCTCACTTTTTTTTTTTTTTAAGACAGCCTGTCACCCAGGCTGGAGTGCAATGGCATGATCTCGGCTCACTGCAACCTCTGCCTCCCAGGTTCAAGCGATTCTCCTGCCTCAGCTTCCTGTGTAGCTGGAACTGCAGGTGCGCACCACCATGCCCGGCTAATTGCTGTATTTTTAGTAGAGACAGGGTTTTGCCATGTTGGCCAGGCTGGTCTGGAACTTCTGACCTCAGGTGATCCGCCCCCATCGACCTCCCAAAGTGCTGGGATTATAGGTGTGAGCCACTGTGCCTGGCTGGGAAGTATTCTTAATAGTTATGTAACCACAAGTCATATCATAGGGTGGATTGTTTTTGGACCAGATTGCTAGAAATTGTGAGCATTTTCATTATGGGCTGTTCCTCATTAACCTCAGTTACTGTACTGCACAACTGACTTTGTGACTTTTAGGGTTTCTATTTTGCAATCAATAACGGCCTATTTGTAGATTCATATTCACTCTTTATTTTGATTCCAGAATAATAGAACTTTCTTAAACTTACTTTGAGGTTGTCAGTGGTGAAATTAAAATTTCTAGGAGATTCATTTTGATCTGTTGGGATAGAGGATCTTTGTTTTCCATTTAGTATTGTCTGTAGTCTTCATTTCTGTTTCTCAGCTGCCCTCCTGTGAGAATAATTATGTATTTACTATGTTTTTGGCGAGGCTGGTTTCATCCACAGGTACCTGGGTGTTGTCCTTTACATGCTGTGTTTACCACTTTCCCCATTGTAGCACATGCAATGTAGTTAAATCCACCCTTGCTTCAAAGCCGCGGCAGGAACAGCTGCTTCAGTCCTCAAGTATTCAGGTAGTTTATATGCTTTCCTGAGAAGTCTGCTGGGCATAAAGAGACAAAGGGCAAGATACCATCCGTAATTCCTACAGAAGGTCACTTAACAAAATGTGCGTTGTGTGTGTTTTCTTAGAGGTTTTGGTCTAGCCATTTCTTTTACTAGAAATCTATTATGTCTTGGTTTTTCAACTTGTATGCAGCTGATAAAGGATCTTAGATGTCTAATAGTTAAAGGTGCAATACTGAGCCACTAAGTCAGCTATATACTGCCGTTTTTTCAGAGACCGTCAGTAGATTTGGTGAGTTGATGAGCCCACTTTCTAAATACCATTTCCGTTTATGCTAAGCCTGATGCATATTCAGTGACTTATTGGATTCTAATTCTTTGGTCAAATTGCTCTATAACTGGAATTGAGTAGAGTTGAACTTCGAGCACCTTATGATGGGGGACTATGTGAGCTGCCACAGATTTGTTTAAAGATCAGATGAGGGAGTTTTGACATCAGCAGAAAAGGAAATGTGTCCTCTTATATTCCTAAGGACTAAACAAGATTAGAGAAAGTATCTTCTGTCATAGCTAAGAAGAAATGCCTAGGTAGATATGATCAGAAGGATAAATGGAGGAGGCAGGACTTAAGCTGGCCTTGAAGGATAGAAGTTACTAAAGCAGAGAGGAGTGGTGAAGCCACCCTAGGCAGGGAGAACAGTATGTGGACAAGAAATGTGTGTGTTATAAACCAGGTAGTTGCAATGGGTGTCATAATTTGGTGCACTGGGCATCTGCACAGAATACTCTCTTCCTGGTGGCATCTCGCTAGAGTCTCAACTCGTTTATCATGTAGCTATTTGGCAAGCAAAGAAACAGAACCAAAAAAAATAAGATCCTCTTTTCTTTTCCTTATCAAATCTTTTTTACTTGAGAGAGGAATTCCATTTAAAAACAGGAAATAGTAGAATTAGTCTTAGAGACTCCTCTTCCCCGACAGTGCTGCAATGAGCATGGGCATTCTCCCTGCCCTAATTTTTTCACTTTTCTCTGTTACCAACTTTTGATTGCATCTACTTCATGAGGTTACTAGTTCTAGAATTATGATTGACCCTATGTTAGGAAACGAGGTACTCTTCAAAGTGGAAATTTTCTTTTACCACGTGTATTATTTATTTATTTTTTTTTAGCTTGCATTTGGGTCACAGACTGCTTTGAAAATGTAGGGACAAGCTATGGGTCATCCCTGGAAAATGCAGCTGCCCATAGAATTTAGCATATAATTTCAGAGGGTTCACAAGTTACTCTCTTCACATGTCCCCCAACCCCTAGCAAAAATACATTTAGGAGTTAAGAACCCTGCTATTTATAGAAGTACTGTAATTTTATCAAAAACAAATCTGCAGATCCTATTTTAAGCTATTCTACTTGTGGAAAAATTCCTCCAAATGTCTAATCCCCATTTATTGAATGGTTGAGTCTTACTAAGTTTGGTTACAAAGTGCGTGTATTCTGTTTTTGGACGTTGTTTTCTATTTACTGACCTAATCTCACTAAATGCAAAATGGTCATGATTTGGTGCCCAGGTGTATAATTTTTGTTTTCTTCTTTGAGCAAAATTAACTTCTTTAACTATTAAATGTTAAAATTCTGTTAGCGTCAGCTCCAGAGGAACATTCACAGTTATGTATTCTCTTGGAATTATATTTTCTTGGAAGAATTTTTTTGATTATCTGTCATTACCTTAAGATTTCTATTATTATTGTTGGCTTCTACTTAGAAAATACACATACTTTTCAACACCAATCTATTTCTAGTTATATTGCAGACTTTCAAATATTTTATATAATTGCATCTCGATTATCTACAAACAGAAGTATTCCGAACAGATAAATTAGTAGCTCTCAAACTTTAACATATCAGAGCCTCCCGGAGGACTTGTTAAAACACATTTTGCTGGGGCCTAAGATTTCACTTTTTTTTTTTTTTTTTTTGAGACAGAGTCTCGCTCTGTCTCCCAGGCTAGAGTTCAATGGCCTGATCTCGGCGGCTCACTACAACCTCCACCTCCCGGGTTCAAGCAATTCTCCTGCCTCAGCCTCCTGAGTAGCTGGGACTACAGGCGTCCGCCACCACCCCCGGCTAATTTTTGTATTTTTAGTAGAGACAGGGTTTCACCATATTGGCCAGGCTGGTCTCGAACTCCTGACCTTGTGATCCGCCCGCCTCGGCCTCCTCAAAAGTGTTGGGATTACAGGCGTGAGCCACCACGCCCAGCCCAATTTCACGTTTTTTACAGGTTCCTGGGTGATGCTGCTCTTGCTGCTTTAGGGGCCACACTTTGAGAGCTACTGCAGTGTGTTATAGAAGTGTGCTTTTTATTTTGGCAGTGTGTGTGATTAAATATATGTGTTTTAATTCTTCCACCCAGATAATTTATTTTCATTACAATTTTATTCAAGTTTATAATAAAATGAACTTGTTTTCTCTCTGCCCCATCTCAGATAGAAGACCCAGACATCGTGAATTATAGAGGGAGGCATAGGTTTAAAAATGTGTGCCCGATTATTATGCTCTTTAGGTACACAGTATAACTTTCTGACGGATGGACCAGATGCTTAAGGTAGTGGTCTTCATGTATCACAACTTAGTGCAAGATAAACAAGATTCTCCAGGCATGGTGGCACATTCCTGTGGTCCCAGCTACTCTAGAGGCTTAGGCAGGAAGATTCCTTGAGCCCAGGAGTTCTTAGGCTGTAGTGTGCTATGCTGATCAGGTGTCCAAACTAAGTTCATCATCAATATGGTGACCTCCTGTGAGTGGGGGACCACCGGCTTGCCCAAGGAGGGGTATACCAGCCCAGGTCAGAAATGGAGCAGGTGAAAACTCCTGTACTGATCAGTAGTGATCTTGCACCTGTGAATAGCCAGTATGCTCAAGCCTGGGCAACATAGCAATATCCTGTCTTTAAAAAAAATAAATAAATAAACAGGAACAGAGAGTTCTTAAGTTGAACTACAATATTGACCAGTAATAGATTTCTTTGAGAAAAATACTCTTTATTAGACGTGTACATTGTAATAATGGCAGATTTTTTGCAATGTGTCCCAGACACAGCGATTGGTTTTTGGGTTTTTTTGGTTGTTTTTTTTTTTGAGACAGGGTGTCTCTCTGTCACCCAAGCTACAGTGCAGTGGTGCAATCACAGCTCACCGCAGCCTCGACTTCCTAGGCTCACGTGATCCCTCCACTGTAGCCTTTAGAGTAGCTGGGACTACAAACATGCACCACCATGCCTGGCTAATTTTTTTTTTTTTTATTGGAGTCTTGCTAGGTTGCCCAGGCCAAGTCCTTTGTCATAATATCTCATTTTAATCTTCACAAACTTAGAGAAAATGTCCTCATAATTTTTTTTTATAAAGTGAAAATTGGAGTCTCAAGGGTCTGAGTAAGTTGTTCCGACTCATGAAGCCAAGATTCAAACCTAGATCAATCTGACCCTAGGGCCTGTGTATGTAATTACTGCTCTGTATAGAATCCTCCTTTATAGCACGCTCTTGCTGAAACAAAGCGTTTTATACAGACATCATCACTGTCTCTCGAATACTTAGAATCTTAGAAGACAACATTACAAGTATTGCTATTCTCTACTATCATGATGCTGTCACAGAACAGTTTATTGTAGCTGAATATGCATATTTACATATTCATAGCTACACTTTGAGTCACCCTTATGCCGTTTATATACAAGGGCACTTGCTCTAATGAAGGATCTGGTTATGAACAGGGCATTAATCAGAGTTGACCAACTCATGATTAGCTTCTTTAGTAACTTGTTTTAATCCAGGAGCTCTTTGCCTGTCTCAGTACATCTGAATCTGTATCCAGAATATTGTGTCTGAACTCACATGCGTTTTTCTGGTGAGTCTATAGCTTTCTTCAGTCTCTCCGAAGGTCTCTTCCTTTATCATTGACCACAGGAATATACAGAAAGCATTTTATCTTCTAATAGCTGAGGGTTTCGAAAAGAAACCAAAGTGTGATGCTTATATTGGTGCTGACTCTAGTGCACAACACTAAACACTCCTTTCTTTTAGGAAATGCAAGAGAAACTCCAGAATTTTGCGCGGTTACCTGCACACCGAGTTACGGACTCCTGCATCGTAGCACTCCTCTCGCATGGTGTGGAGGGCGCCATCTATGGTGTGGATGGGAAACTGCTCCAGGTGCGGATACCATGGTGGAAGCCAGCTGTTGAAACCAGGCTGCTTCACCTCCTGCCTGCCGTCTGTCCCGTGATGGCGACTGTTGCATGTATAGGACTTCAGGAGGCCCCACCCAATGCTTAACCTCCCTTCTTCCTTGTTTCTTTCTGGCAGCTACAAGAGGTTTTTCGACTCTTTGACAACGCCAACTGCCCAAGCCTACAGAACAAACCGAAAATGTTCTTCATCCAGGCCTGCCGTGGAGGTGAGTGCCCTGGCAGACCAGCACCTGGGTGGTGGCTCCTGGGCGGCCTCCCACCAGCTCTCACTTTCCTGTTTGCTCCTCTCAGGTGCTATTGGATCCCTTGGGCACCTCCTTCTGTTCACTGCTGCCACCGCCTCTCTTGCTCTGTAAGTGTCTCCCAATGCATGGGGTGTGCTGGGACTTGGGCAGCCCATGGCTCTCAGGCTGGTCAGCTCTCCGTGCACCACCATATCCTGTTCTCAGGACTCTTTTTATCAGTGTCTTTGCTTTCCTTTCTGAGAACTCGTACTCTTCTCTGCTTTATTAACGCCGGTGCCCTTTTTTTGGTTACTCATTCCAGTTACGGATTTCTGATCTGTCTTTTCCCCATCCTTCTTATTTTATCTCCTTTCTTTCACTCTTTCTCCTTTTCACTTGTTCCATATACTTCACTTTTACCTACACTTCGCTCTTGCCTCCTTTCTTCTTACCATTCATGGGTCATGCAGGATAGCAGAACAGAATCCGTGTTGGCCTTTGACTCTTCCTTTTCCATGAGCGGCTGCTGCCCTTCTTTTCTCATGCAGTCTGTTTTACTCCTTTAAGAGCCAGGACTGCAGGACGAGGATTAAAAGACACATAGGCATGCTTCTCATCCTGGAGGAAAATAATAGTAATTACGAGCCCTAACTTTGGAGTCAAATTCTGACTTCACCATTTACTAGTTACGTGAAGTTAAATGGCATCCCTCCATCTCAGTTTGCTCAATATAAAATGAAAATAGTCCTTGTACCTACTTCATAAGGTGCTTGTGATGGTTAAATGAGATTATGCATTTAAGGGCTTACATAGCTCGGTACCTGGCTCACAGCACATCCACAAAATATGCCAGCTGTAACTCTTAAAACACGATCAGTGCCGTAAAGGGCTTATAGTTTGCTTCAAAGGTCGCTTTGTCCAAACATTCAAATAATTACTGTTTTAATCTCTCGTGTGGCCAAATGTAAATAGCTAATATTATTGTCATGCTGATCTGATATTACCGCAGAATATAGTCTGTTGAGATCCTGCAACATGACTCAGACTATAGCAGTTACTGCCCCAAAAGCAGAAGGAAGTGTGGCCTCTCTAAGGAGCAGACCAGTTACTCAGGAAAATAAAGTAAATATACATGAAGTAGCTTAAGACTAGTTCACAGGCCTCATGTAAGCAAGGGTGAAATTAGCAAGGTACAAACCGTACTTAGAAAGGAGTATGCAGTAAGAGTAGATCATTTTAAGTGAGGGTAGTTTAAAGAGATTTTATGGATAGGATACGGCTTCATTTGTACCCGGAGTAATTTGATTTACATAGTTGTAGAGTAGTATCTAGAGTCTGTCGTGGGAAGGAAACAATACAACATGATAAGCACACTGAGATTCACAGGGCATGTTGTGCCTCCCCTCCTCCCAAACCAATGCTTGGATCTGATTTTAAAACAGCATCTGTGTGAGTATGTGAGATGTGGCTGGTCATAACAAAGTAGGTTCACCTCATTTCAAACCTTCAGTCATAACTGAGATTTTGGACATCAGCCGGTAAAAGTAAGGAACAGTTGGGAGCTTAAGTAAGAAATAATGTGATTGATTTTTTTTCCAGGAAGGTTGCCGTGGAGGGGGCTGCACTAAGGAAAGAGGTTATGGGGCACAAACTTCACTTTTCATTCCCTGCTCTATCCCCAGGCCCAGGGCACTGCCTGACGCATGGTAGCACTTATAAATGTTGAATGAATGGATGAAAATTAATCTGCCTGAAAAACTGTAGGTATTACGTAAAAAACAAATACGAGAATATAGTGACAAAAGAACCAATGGCATTTATTGATTGATGGATCTGTGATATAAAGGTGAGAGAGGAATTCTCCTTTCTCTTTAGCTTAGCCTGTTTCCTTTAGGCGTCTTTACTAACAAAATGACAGTTAAATGGTCATTTTCTCCTCCTGTATCCAGGGATTTAATACCCTATTGGATCTGGATAAGGAGTAATTGCTCTTTTGTGGAGTAATCTGAATTTTTGGCTCTGTCTCTCTAACTTTTCTGAAATTAAATCCTTCAAGGAATGACCAGTAGCCAATTGTTCCTTTGAAAATTTGAGTTCACCTGTCTTCCTGCTGTATTTGGTTAATATAATTAATGTCTATAAAAAGCTCCACCCCCCTGTCCCAGTCAGCTTCTAAACCAGAGTGTAAGCTCTCTGATGGCAGGAATTTTCTCTTCACTTTATCCCTAGGCCTTAAAGTAAGACAGTGCCCAACACATGGCAGTTGCTTGACAATTTTTATTAAGTCTGTGCTTTGGTCCTTTTCCCCCCAATTCTTAAAGCTTCCCATCTTTCTTAAGTTCCTTCATGTTACATGGATCAGGAAGTACTGTAATAGAGCATACTCTTACTTTTTATGTGTTGACCTGAGAGTCCTCCCTATCTGTCTTTCCTACTGACAGCACCCCTGCCCACACCCAAAATAAAACAACATCATCAAAAATAAGAGTCTGTCTTGGGATACATAAGGCCTGTATCAAGAGCAAGGATCTGCTCAGGGTATGTTGAGAAAGTACTGCTGAAGTTGAATAGGGATGATCTTTTTAAATTTTCTGGGAGAACATAGTCAAATTCTCCCCATTTTAAGTTTTTCCTCTTAAAATTTTCATAAGGCCAGGTGTGGTGGCTCATGCCTGTAATCCCAACACTTTGGGAGGCCAAGGCAGAAGGATCACTTGAGGCCAGGAGTTCAAGACAAGTCTGGTCAACATCGCAAGACCCCATCTCTATTGAAAAAAAAAAAGGAGAGATTTAAAAAGTTATTTTAAGAAATAAATTAAAATTTTTTTTTCTTAAATCTTGGATGCTTGCTGTAATTTATCTTATGAAATTAACAAACAAATAGTGCTTCAAAGATATCAAAACCACCTTGGAAACAACTGATCATACTTAGTTTTATTATTTTTTTGGTAGATAGTTTGAGGTTGTGATTTTTGTGTAGCATACTTATGGTAACCGTATTTGTTATTTATTACCTTGTTTTTTCTTGTTTATGTAATTAAGTATATCAATATTTTATTATGTATTGTAATGAAAAGCACTGTGACTCCCAGGCATACTGTTAATCGAACAAGTGTGTTGTGGACTTAGATGATTTTCAGTTCCATTTACAAGGAGTATTTGATTTGGCATTTTCCCTGTCTTACACAGAACGGGAACTGCTCCAACCACACAGATGTGCATGTGCTTGAGCGTGGTGCCTGGTGTGTATGAGGCATCCCCTGAGTAACAGATGCATGCTGGGAGAGTAATTTTTATTATTTATTTATTTATTTATTTTTAGTTTATCAGCCATAGGTTGGAGGCTACAGCTGGAAATGGCTCTTCCCCTTCAAGGTTGTAGGGAATGTGGGCTTGCCTGTGACAGGCCCAAGAGAGACAGAAGAAGTAACATCTTTGTCCACTCTGTCTGCCTTTGTTACAGATGAGACTGATCGCGGGGTTGACCAACAAGATGGAAAGAACCACGCAGGATCCCCTGGGTGCGAGGAGAGTGATGCCGGTAAAGAAAAGCTGCCAAAGATGAGACTGCCCACGCGCTCAGACATGATATGCGGCTATGCCTGCCTCAAAGGTACTTTGAGTTCCAAAAGAGTCGAGTCATACCTCATTTTATTGCACTTTGCTTTATTATGCTTTGCAGATACAGGTTGAGTATGCCTTATCTGAAATGTTGGGACCAGAATTTTTTTGGTCCCAGATTTTGGATTTCTTTGTTTTTTTGGATTTTGGAATATTTGCATTATACTTACTAGTTGAGTGTCCCATATCCAAATATTCTAAATTTAAAATGCTCCAGTGAGCACCTTCTTTGAGCATCATGTTGGCACTTGGAAAGTTTCAGATTTTGAAGCATTTCAGATTTTTGGATTTGGGATGCTCAGCTGCTTTTTACAAATTGAAAGTTTGTGGCAATCCTCCTTCAAACGTCTAAAATCAGCACCATTTTTCTATTGGCATGCCTCTGTTAGCATTTTTCAGCAGTAAAGTATGTTTTAATTACAGCATATGCATTTTTTAGACATAATATTGTTGCACACTTAATAGACTATAGGATAATAACCATAACTTCCATACACACTGGGAGACCTGAAAACGTATGACTTGCTTTATTGCCATATTCACTTTCTTAAGCTGGTCTGGAAATGGACCTACAGTATCTCCAAAGTATGCCAATAATTCAAAAGAGTGTACCCTCCTAGACTTGGATTCTTCATGCTGGGTTCTCTGACTGGGGAGGGTGCAGGTGCCATGGCCCAGTCTAGTTTGGGAAGTCCAGCTGTGTGATGGCATTCACACTGTGATTAATGCCCTTTTGGTTGCAGGGACTGCCGCCATGCGGAACACCAAACGAGGTTCCTGGTACATCGAGGCCCTCACTCAAGTGTTCTCTGAGCGGGCTTGTGATATGCACGTGGCCGACATGCTGGTTAAGGTGAGCCGGCGGGCTCCGTGACCCCTGTGCGTCTCCACAGTGCTCTACTTTCCTTCTCCCTTGAATGCTCTTTCATAGTCCGTCTCCCCTTCCCGTCGTGCTGCTCTCATGAAGCCCGAGATTCTCAGACTTGGGCCTATTGGTTCTGCCCCTCCAGGTGAATGCACTTATCAAGGATCGGGAAGGCTATGCCCCTGGCACAGAGTTCCACCGGTGCAAGGAGATGTCTGAATACTGTAGCACTCTGTGCCATCACCTCTACCTGTTCCCAGGACACCCTCCCACATGATGCCACCTCCCCATCATCCACGCCAAGTGGAAGCCACTGGACCACAGGAGGTGTGATAGAGCCTTTGATCTTCAGGATGCACAGTTTCTGTTCTGCCCCCTCAGGGATGTGGGAATCTCCCAGACTTGTTTCCTGTGCCCATCATCTCTGCCTTTGAGTGTGGGACTCCAGGCCAGCTCCTCTTCTGTGAAGCCCTCTGCCTGTAGAGCCAGCCTTGGTCGGACCTATTGCCAGGAATGTTTCAGCTGCAGTTGAAGAGCCTGACAAGTGAAGTTGTAAACACAGTGTCATTATGGGGAGAGGGCATATAACTTCCCCATATTTGTGTTCAGTTCCAGCTTTTGTAGATGGCACTTTAGTAATTGCTTTTATTACATTAGTTAAGATGTCTGAGAGATCATCTCCTATCTTTTATTTCATTCATATCCCCCACTCTTTTTGTCCTAGAGTGAGAGTTTGGAAGGTGTCCAGATTTAATGTAGACATTATCTTTTGGCTCTGAAGAGGCAAACATGATTAGAGACACACTTTGCTGCAGTGTGACTAGAGACACACCTTGCTGCAGTGTGCAGAAGTGGCCTGTGCATTCCCTTCAGTACTGCAGGGCCCCCCAGTGGAGGGACACTCTTGCCTCGTTTGGGCTCAAGGCTCCACAGCCTGTCAGCCGACATTGCTTTGCATCTGTACCTTATTGATCTTTGCCCATGGAAGTCTCAAAGATCTTTCGTTGGTTGTTTCTCTGAGCTTTGTTACTGAAATGAGCCTCGTGGGGAGCATCAGAGAAGGCCAGGTGTGTTTCCCTAGTCCGTCTCTCTCTCTCTCTCTCTCTCTCTCTCTCTCTCTCTCTCTCTCTCTCTCTCTCTCAGCCGACATTGCTTTGCATCTGTACTTGGCTGATTCTGCCCATGGAAGTCTCAAAGATCTTCAAGCATTGGTTTCCGGTTTTTGTTACCGAAACGGTTTCCGTAAAAGCACCGGCATAAACGCGTGTGTTTCTAGTCCGCTTCTCTCTCTCTCTCTCTCTCTCTCTCTCTCTCTCTCTCTCTCTCTCTCAAAAAAAATCTTTCTTCCTCCAGTCTATTCACATAACAGAGTAGTTTTTTTTTTTTTTTTGGTTTTTAAGGCAAGTTCTCACTATGTTTCTCAGACTGGTCTCGAACTCCTGGCCTCAAGCCATCCTCCCGCCTCAGCCTCTCAAATAGCTGGGACTACAGGTGTGAGCCACCACGCCTGGCCAGGTTTTGGTTGTTTAAATATAAATCTGATTATGTCACCCCCCTGCTTAGAACCCTTCTGCTTTCTATTACACCTCACTTAAAATGTAAACTTCTCACCTTCGTTTATGAGAACTGGTTCTTGCCTTCCCCTTGAACCTCATTAAATGGTGATTTCTTGCTAAGCTCCAGCCCGAGTAGTCTCCTCAGCTTCTAATTTTGTGCTCTTTCCTGCCCTCTTCCTTGGCCTTCTCATCTCTCCACCCCCACCACTCTTGACTCAGGTGGTATCCTTATTCCTCAAGTCTTGACCGTTCCCAGGCCCTTCAGTCCCTGAGCAGTCTACTCCTGTGTCTGTCACCACATCTTGTCTTTTCCCCTCATTGCACTTATTGCAGTTTATATGTATGCTACTTCTAGTTCATTTCTGTCTCCCCTACCAGGCTGTAAATGAGGGCAGAAACCTTGTTTGTTTTATTCATCATCACGTACCAAGTGCTTGGCACATAGTGGGTCTTCAGTAAATGTTTGTTGAATAAAAGAGGGAAGAAGGCAAGCCAACCTTGGCTGCAATCCTACCTTTTGATAACATGTTCCTTTTGACAATGTACACAGATTATTATGTGTACTTTGTTTTTCCATGTGTTTTGCTTTTATCTGCTGGCATTTTTAGCTCCTTGAAGACATTTCATGTGTGAGATAACTTCCTTCACATCTCCCATGGTCCCTAGCAAAATGCTAGGCCTGTAGTAGTCAAGGTGCTCAATAAATATTTGTTCTGTGAGCTGGGTGGTTGGAAGCCTTGCTGCCAAGTCCTGCCTTTGGGTCGACATAGGATGGAAGTATTTGAGTGAGATAACCTTTCCACTCCCACTGCCAGGATTTTGTATTGCCATCAGGTGCCAAATAAATGCTCATATTTATTACTGTTGTGTGCTCAATATCTGTTTCTGTAGACACTCAGTCCTCTGAAGTCCACAGATTTTGTTTCCTTAGCCCCTTACAGTGCAGCCTTCCTCACTACCTCACAAGGCATACCCAGACCTGAAAACCCCTTCTTATTTTGCTGCCATGGTCCTGTAAATATATGCAAGTGTGGGTCCATCTCAGTTGGCCTAGTCCTGGGATTTCTCATAGATGAAATGGAAGTCATTAGCAACCAGTGCTGGTTCTTGGTTACTTAGACTATGAGATGTAGGCTGCCATAACAGATTGGGCTGGAATAGAAGAATGGGAGAGTGAAGGTAGTAAAATTCCATTTCTTACCTGGTTGCATTTAAGGTCTTGTAGAGTGGGCATAGATTGTAAGAGAATTCTAATGCGGCATAGAAGAGATCAAAGCAATGGATTTGTGTAAGTTGGGATATTTTGGGGGTGCGTTGTATCTAAAGGATATGCCTGAGAGGTAAGTGCAGGTGCAGATGGGCCATGGAAGTTTGGCAAGAGATGGAATGTTCTGTAGGTACTTTCTACAGAAGTTTTAGTAGGAAACAAAACTTTTTTCTTTATTTTTTTAAATACGGGGGTTCACCATGTCGGCCAGGCTGGTCTTTAACTCCTGTCCTCAAGTGATCAGCTCGCTTTGGCCTCCCAAAGTGCTAGGATTATAGGCATGAGCCACCACACCCAGCCAGAAAGAAAACTTTTTTGTTTGGTAGGAAACAGCTGTGGGAGCTGGAAACATTGTTGAGTGATAGAAGGGAATGGCTGTCTAGGAAGAGCAGAAGGGGACAGAGGTGAGCTGAAGCACCTTGGCAAATAGAGCAGAATTTGGTACAGAACACTGGAGACAAAAGGGTGTGAAAAATGGACTGAAACTGGTCGATTGTACTGCAAGAAAAACAACCGTGGGATAGCCTCAAGGGAGAGATACAAAATCTAGGACAGGCGAAGAAATTACGGAAATAGTGGGAGTAAGATAAATACCCATTTTCAGGATAGGAAGGCTTTTCAGAGGTGTGATAATGTTTGAGAATTACAGAGCAGTATCTCTGAACTGGATTCCGTGTCCTCCCCACCCCCCAACCCCCTTGCCCTTGAATAAGGGTGTGAGGTTGAATTTCACAGCTCTGCTCCCTTCTGCTTACCTCTGCCAGAGGATTCTCTTCTAAAATTATCCCCCTCCCAGAGCTGGGGGCTGCCCTCTGCTGCCCTCCTCCATCCTGTTTCCTCTAATGGGGAAAGGAAAACAGGAAGAAAGAAAAACTGTAATATCAGACTAAAGCTGATTTTTTTTTTTTTAATTTTTAAAATTTTGTTCTATAAAATAGAGATGAGGTCTCACTATGTTGTCCATGCTGGTCTCAAACACCTGGGTTCAAGTGATCCTCCTGCCTTGGCCTCCCAGAGTACTGGGATCACAGACATGAGCCACCACACCCAATCAAAGCTGTGATATTATGAATGGTGCCGGGCTGGCCGGGCAGAGTGGCTCGTGCCTGTAATCCCAGCACTTTGGGAAGCTGAGGCAGGTGGATCACCTGGGCTCAAGAGTCCGAGACCAGCCTGGGCAACATGGCAAAACCCTGTCTCTAAAAAATAAAGAATGGGCCAGGCACAGTAACACACCTATAGTCCCAGCTACTCAAGAGGCTAAGGAGAGAGGATTGCTTGAGCCCAGGAGTTGAAAACCAGCCTGAGCAACATAGTGAAACCCCATCAAAAAAAAAAAAAAAAAAAAAGGGCAGGAGGAAAGGTGTCTAATCTGAGAAGGAGGAAGACATTAATAATAGCTACAACTGTTCTGAGAAGAGCTTTCCATTTCATGTTCCCCATGCTTCTGGGAAGGAGTCATTTTCCCTTTTGTTTTTGAAACAGTTTTGCTCTTGTCACCCAGGCTGTAGTGCAATGGCGTGATCTCAGCTCACTGCAACCTCTGCCTCCTGGGTTCAAACCATTCTCCTGCCTCAGCCTCCCAAGTAGCTGGGATTACAGGCACTCGCCACCACACCCAGCTAATTTTTGTATTTTTAGTAGAGACGAGGCTTCACCATGTTGCCTGTGCTGGTCTCGAACTCCTGAGCTCAGGTGATTCACCCGCCTCAGCCTCCCAAACTGCTGGGATTACAGGCGTGAACCACTGCGCCTGTCCACAAATGTAGCTTTAATGGTATGGACTGTAGAATTCAGTAGATCTGATTTTGAGTGCTGGGTCTGCCTTTGAAGATATTGGAGACCTTGATCAAGGTAGCTAACACAGCCCCTATTTCCCTTATTTAAAAATTAGGAAAATTGCGTCTACCTTCCAATGTCCCCATGAGGATTAAATGTGACGATGCATGTAAATCACATGATGTTAATGCATAAAAATGCTTGATAAATGTTAACTCACAGAATGAGCTTCAGTTTAATATGAGTGAACAGTTCTTACTATTAGTCAAACACTATAGCACATTTTTGTTTTGTTTTGTTTGAGACGGAGTCTCTGTCGCGGGGCTGGAGTGCAGTGGCGTGATCTCAGCTCACTGCAATCTCCGCCTCCTGGGTTCAAGTGATTCTCCTACCTCAGCCTCCTGAGTAGCTGGGATTGCAGGCACATGCCACCATGCCCAGCTAATTTTTGTATTTTTAGTAGAGACGGGATTTCACCATGTTGGCCAGGATGGTCTGGATCTCTTGACCTCGTTATCCACCTGCCTCGGCCTCCCAAAGTGCTGGGATTACAGGCGTGATCCACCGCGCCCGGCCTATAGCATGTTTTTCGCATGCGTTATTTTATCTTCTTAACCCTCTAGTTACTGCCTTTCTGAGGAAACAGGTCAGAATGTGAAACCGAAGCTGTCAGTTTGAGCATATGCTAACAGCCTTGCTTCTGTGACTTATTCTGGCATGAAGGATTTTTCCTCCTCACTTTTTTTTGGGCTGTAAGATTCCTCCCATTAGGCTGGGGGAATGAAACTGAGACCCAAAACCTTATTCCATCTTAAGTCATAATTAGGTAGGAGTTTGGGGAAAAAAATGTATCATGTTTGAAAAGCCAGAAGGGGGAGAAAGAGACCTGTCGAATACTACAGGGAAAGCCTGAGTGCAAAGGATGGGAAAGGACTAAGGATGCTTAAAGAATAAGGAGGCTGGCTGGGCCCCGTGGCTCACGCCTGTAATCCCAGCACTTTGAGAGGCTAAGGCGGGTGGATCACGAGGTCAGGAGATTGAGACCATCCTGGCTAACACGGTGAAATCCTGTCTCTACTAAAACTACAAAAAATTAGCCGGGTGTGGTGGGGGGCGCCTGTAGTCCCAGCTACTCGGGAGGCTGAGGCAAGAGAATGGCATGACCCGGGAGGTGGGGCTTGCAGTGAGCAGAGATCGCGCCACTGCACTCCAGCCTGGGTGACAGAGCGAGACTCCGTCTCAAAAAAAAAAAAAAAAGAATAAGGAGGCAAGGCACAATAAAGAGGAGAGGAGACATGACCACCAGTGGAGTGCACTACAGAGAAAGTGTCTTCAGAGGAAACTGTAGCTTAGCTGAAATTTCAGAAAGTAGGTGGCCATGGGTTCCATGGCTGCCTGATACACAGAGGGAAAATGATGACTGAAAACACCTTTAAAGAGCGTAAGGGTTTTACTGCCCAGTATGTTGGGGAGGCCAGACTGGAAGACGTGAGATTCTGAAAACAAGGGTGTAGCCCGGAAAGAAAATGCATTCACCT